AGAAAGTATGTTATATGAACTGTATAAACTAATCGTTCGAATAAATATTTAAAACGTTCATTTGATATTCAAATTAGATGCCAATGTCTTCAAAGAAAAGTTCCTTGAAGTACAAAAAATGAATCTCGAGCTTACTAAAAAAGGACAAGAACAAGTCAAAGAACAAGACAAAGAAAAAGTAGATGTTAAAAATGAGGAAAAGGATCCTGAATGAACTATACTACTTTCACTATCATACTTATTTACAGTCGACCGAACTTCTATATACCGAACTCTGCCTATAAACGAACTAAAAGGTTCAGAACAAATAATTACATTTTATTACATTGGATATACCAACTTTAATATATAATAAATTTGCTATCCGCGTCCGAACCTAATTGGGTCAGTATATATATAGCCCATCATAATATATATATTTATATAACGAACATTCATCTAGCTAGATAAACGATTAGAATCTAATTATATAAGATCGCATAAAGCTTAATAATAAAAAAGTTGGCTAGTCATGGTAAAAAAATGTCCTGACCACCCAAGATGTTAAACAGTAATGTTGCTTTAAATTCTTGACGTACCATAGTAAAATTCCGCAAGGAACATTTTTGTTAGGCCGCAAAAGGTAGCTACAATCGATTCTTTGATGCAACTTGTTTTTCACGCTCTTTAAAAAAAATTAGCATATTGTTTGAAACATAGGAATGGATCATGATATTGCTTGAATCTTCGTTAGAAACTTTCGTGTTACACCTAATTTCGCGATAGATACTATATGTAATACTGTAATAAATGAAAAATAATAAAAATAGACTGTAAGCTATGCGTAAATATCTGACCCCTACTAAAAGCTAGATAAAGAAGCCTAAATTAAAGTAATTGATAACGCATTTAGAGTTAGAGAGATATATTATGTTAGAATTAAAGATAGATTAAACTTATGATAATAAATCATTTATTGTAAACTTTACAAAATTTATAAGGGAGAGTCGGGTATTCTGGCGCGGATGGGTAATTTGGTGCATTTATATCCATTAAACAACACTCGGAATCAAATTATATTAGTACCATTCGATTCATCTCAATGGACGATTCAAATTTTTCTCTTAATTTTTGTTCTGAGCATAGCAACTCGTGTGATTCCAAAATTCCGGGTCAGAATGCATCGGAACCCTGATCTAAAAATCATCAAATTTGACCATCATTAAAAATTTTACTAATGAAATCATAGTCGTTATTAAGTAAAAAGTGCCTAGCTAATAATTTTTGCTAACTAGTATAGCTAACCTTAACCCTAACGCCGATGCATTCCGACTAGGAATTTCGAAAATTGCTTTGTAAAAAATTTAAAAAACTTTTATATAATAAAAAAAATTTTATATAACAATAATATTTAAACTATATACTCTATAGAAAATGCTAAATTAAACGAGACGATTTAAATTGAAGTAATTCAGACTTCGTCCGTGAAGTATGTATCCATCGCTTTGCGGAATAGGAATCTAAATGTTAATCGGTCCCGCAGTAATCATTTGAGCACTTGTAACTAGCTCCAGTAGGTTATAGAAAAGTTATTTCTATAATATTTTCTAGTATATAGAAGTTTATTGGGACCGAGAAAATTTATCTAATTGGTCCCTAATCGGGCTCATCTTATTTTTCTACGTATAACTTAATGGACGATAATTACTGCGGAACTGCGTGACTGCATTGGCCAATATAAATCTCGACTGCGCATAAATTTACCATCAGTATTTTAAAAGACGATTTACAATAAATTTTTTTTTTCGCTGAAATCTCATCCAAATATAGTTTTACGCTTTTAGTTATGACCGATCCTGAGAACAAGCCTACCGTCACGGAGTCTTCAAAGGGAACCGAAGAGGTATATGATCGATGCGCTCATTGTCTATCATAGTTTCAAAAGCACCTTTCTAACGCTTAAAATATGCATTCATACAGGAGGATGTACCTCCAGCTTCGCCCGACGTTCATTTTGAACCAATTATCAAGTTAGACGAAGTGGAAGTTAAAACGCTTGAAGAGGATGAAGACGTACTGTTTAAAATGTGAGTTTGATTAGAATAGGAACCCAGGAATACTTTAGTTTATATGTGTATTTGGATGCGTTCACAAGTGACGAAAATAAACTATGCTAGACAAATTACAACAGCAAATTCACTTGCAATAAACTGCCGTTATACGGCTTGGTAATGAATTGCAAGTTCGCTAAACTGTTGGAAATTAAACTGGAAGAAATTCTGTAGGAAAGACATCACATGTTTGATTTCCTTTACTCTACGAGCTTCCAAACACAGTTTTCTGAATTGCTTAAGCATACATTATGAATTGGAATAAATCATCAAATCATTTATTAACATGATAGAGAGATATATATTTTCTTAAAGCTAATAATAAATGGCCATTTGTAGGCGTGCTA